GGGGAGGCAGGCAGCCGGCACCGCCCCGGCGGACAAAAGTCCCTTCAGTTCAGCCGGCGGCAGGGGAAGTCCCGGCGCCCTGCTAAACCACCCTCCCGTGCCGCGCTCCGGCCGTCCGCTCGGCCGCCGTCGCCGGCGGCCCCATGCCCCGATGCCCCTCGGGGGCCATGGACGAGGGGCCCGTGGACCTGCGCACCCGGCCCAAGGCCGCGGGACCCCCGGGCGCCGCGCTGCCGCTCCGCAAGCGTCCGCTGCGCGCGTCCTCCCCGGACCCCGCTACCCCCCAAGCAGCCACGGGCCCCGGAGTCCCCACCGAGTCTCTATGCGGAGGCCCGGAGGCGCCGGTAGTCCCCGCACCCCCGCACGGCCTGCACCGGCCTGAGGCGCTTTACTACCCGGGTGAGTGGACCCTGCGAATAGGGGCTGGGTGAGGGCTACAAAGGGCTGAGGGTCCCCCAGAGCCGGGGACAGAGCTCAGGACAAGTATTGGAGTCCCAGGGACGGAATGCAAGGTCCCACGGACCCAGACATGGAGGTCCCAGGGAGATAGGGGGCAGAGCCTACCGTCCTGCCGCACAGATGTGGGGAACCAAGCGGCAGTGCTTAGCCATACGTATATGGGGGCTCATATCGGTGTCTTGGGGAGTCAGAAGGTAGAGGCTGGGGTCCTAGGACACAGATATGGGGGCCCCATAATTACAAGATTGCAAGGCTCATAATCTAGGGTTTTGAGGGTTCAGGGCCTGGACACAAGAAACTGGGGTTCCTGGGATCAGTATGTGGGGGCAGAAAGAATCAGGGGAACAGACTGGGGTTCTAAGCAGACAGACATTAGAGGTCCTGGGATGTCAACATCTCAGAACCGAGATATCAGAGGGCATAAGAAATTAGGAGAGCAGAGTGTGGGTTCTGAGTACTCCCTGGATGACAAGGGTCCAAGAAAACAGACCAGAGTTTCAGGGACTCAGAAACTGGGGGTCCCAGGGAGCCAGAGGAGCAGAAAAACAGGGCTCTGGGCACCCATTGATCACAGTGATCAGGGCCCCATCTGGGGCCCCCGAGGACCGGGCCTGGGGATGGAGGATGATAGGGATAGGGGGCTGGACTGGGGGATTCTGGGACTCAAGGATTTGGGGCCAGGATGAAGGATTCAGGGCCTCCAGGCAAAGGCCCCTGGGCCCTAAGGCCTGGCGTTGGATATGCAGGAACCCAGGAACCCGGAAATTTGAGGATCCATGAATGGATGGTCCCCAGGGGTAAAGGAATAGCAGAGGTCACACACCAGTCTCCCTGTCCCATCTCCGACTCTGATCTCAAGAAAGGGCATCTCCTACTGTGCCCACCTCCTCATCCCCAAGTGACCCCAAAAGCTGCAGGGAGCCCAGATTTCTTCCCTGCCCCCCAGACATTCACCTGGTTTTTTGCACCTTCCACTTCATCAGAGTGCAGCAGATGGAGGTTCAGGCTGGGCTTCAGGAAGCCTGCCACCTCCCCACCCTTTCCCATGTCCTGGGTGAGAACCTGGACCTCAGTTGTCCTCATCTGTGGGGTGGGTGAGCGTGAATTTGACTGCCACCGTGGATGAGTCGGAATGGACTCAATGGCAACAGGTTTGGGGTTTTTTTTTTGTTTTTTTTTATGGTCCTTTCCAACTGTTGTATCTGGACAGGCTTCCGATGCCGCTCCCTCTGACCCGACCCTCCTCCCAAACTCTCTACACATTTACCGTACACTCCTTACCTGGCTTTCCATCCATTCTTTTTTTTTATCAAATTTTTATTGTGATTTGGGTGAAAGTTGACAGAGCAAATTCATTTTCCGTACAGCAGTTCATACACATTTTGTTTCATGATATTGACTGCAGTTCCCACAATGGAACAGCTCTCTTCCCACTTCCTCCCTGCGGCTACCTCTTCCCTGTGTCCTTCTTTCCCATGCATTCCTGCCCCCTGAGCTGTCTCCCTGTGCAGACACCGCCCTTCTGTTCTCCCAGGATTGATCCCTCTGAGGAGTGTAGCTACCTGGTGTTAATTTCACCCTCTATGCTGGTCTGTTTGGTGTTGGTTGGCTAGGAGCCATCTCTATCCATCCTTCATCTCCCTTGGCCACAAATTCACTTAGCAGCTAGATCCTGGGATCCCCCTGCTGGATGATGTTGGGGTTCAGTCTGCACCCTTAAGGAATTCTTTGTCTAGCAGGAGACAGTGTTCAGTTAAGTGACAAAGAAGGTGACCAGTACTGGGGGCGGTGGGTAAGAGCCCAGAGGACTCCAGTGGGGAAAAGGGGTTTGTCTTGGCCTTGTCCTGGCCTTTGAGGCACCCACACATATGATATGCAGAGAAAGTGGGGACAAAGGACAGACTATACTGTAATAGCCAAGGCCAGGAGGTGGGGAATGGGTGAAGGGCCCCTGGGCCTGGCCTCACCCCTGTCCCTTCTCTGTCCTTCCTTCCCTAGGACATCTACTGTCCCTGTACCCCACTCCACCTCTGGGCACCCCCTATCCTCTGCTAAGCCTGCCTGCCCCTCTGTACCCAATCATGTGCTCGATGGAACACCCCCTGTCGGCTGACATCACCATGGCCACCCGTGCGGATGAGGACGGAGACACGTAAGTGAGAGTCCCTCACTAATGGAGGGTGGGTGAGGAGGCCAGGCCTTCACCCACCTCACCTAGCACCACACAGGGGCACTCAGCTTGGGCTTTTGTGTTACCAGGACCCGAGTTAGAATCCTGTCTCTACTGCTGGCTGGGTGACATGGGTGCCCTGAGAAGAGTTCCTTCCTAGGACTATTTTCAGAGCCAGAGGCTTCCAGTTTTTGATCACAATTTATAGTGAAAAATACATTTTACTCTAATCCTATCCGGCTTCTAGCACTGGCCTGGCCTGGTTTTTGTAAATGCTCAATGTTGTTGTGAGTTGCCATCAAGTCAGTTCCGACTCCTGGCAACCCCAGGAGTCAAAGTAGAGCTCCTCCAGAGGGTTTTCAAGGAACCCGACTGTCATCAGGCTTGTCTTCTGAGATGCCTTTGGGTGGGTTCGAACCACCAACCTTTGGGCTGGTAGACCAGCGCTTAACTATGTGCATGGTCCTGGACTTCCTTGAGTACTTAGTGGGGTTTCTTATTCTCACTACTATTTTATATCTAATCCAGCGTGCACATACACCACCTCCCCACATGTACCTGGAGTAAAAATGGCCCACAAAAAAATCTTCATTAACGACACAGGATCTACTTGGATCTCTCTATTCTGGTGTATTTCATTTTTTTTTTTTTTTTCCCCTGCTGGCCACAATCCACTGAATTAATTTGAAGACCCCCCCCAAACTGATTTCACAGCCCCCATGGTTTATCGAAAGGAGCTCTGGTAGCACAGTGCCTAGGGCATCTGACTGCTAACCAAAAAGTTGGTGTTTCAAACCCACCAGCCACTCCACAGAAGCAAGACTGGGCGATCTACTTCTGTAGAGATTTACCGCCTTGGAAATCCAAATGGGGGTGGCTATGAATAGGAATCAACTTGACAGCAGTGGGTTTGTTTGGTTTTTTTTAATGGCTATCTAAGGAGCTCTGGTGGCATGGTGCCTAAGGCATTTGACTGCTAACCAGAAGGTTAGTGGTTCAAACCCACCGCCTGTATGAAACCATGCTAGTTCTCACGAAGCTGCTGGGAAATCCTGCAGGGAGGGTTTAGCCTCATATTATCAATACACTTGACCATCACAATTATTATTATTGAATCTAGCAAGGTTTGACTTTCAGCTGGTTACTTTCTCTCCCCTCTGTGCCTCCGTTTCCCCCGCTGCCAAAAAAAAAAGGGGGGGGAGAACCCAAAGTGTGTGAGGGTCTCTGTGAGGAAGAAATGAGATGAGATTATTTCTAGAAAGGGCCTGCCTGGGAATTGGTGTCGAAGACTGGAAACCACAGATAAGGATGGACAGGGCTCTATCACTGGCCCACTGAGTGACTTCACCTCCCTGTGCCTCAGTTTCCCATCTGGAAATTGGGGCTTTTAACAGTCCTACCATAATTAGGGTTCCATGCAATGATGTCCCTTTGTGGTGCAAAAAACAGGGCCTGCACACAGTAGGAGCTCAAAACACAGGAGTGGGGGGTGTTTGAACAGAGAACCCCAGCAGGAGAAAGTACCACAGATTCTGAGCCCAACGGCCTCCATACCTCTGGGGCTCTGGGGTCATCCGTAGAGTGGGCTTCATGTGTACGTGTCCTTAGGGGTGACTTGTTTTGGACTTGTTTGCAGCCCGTGAATGCAGACTCCAGCCCTCGCCTGCGCCCCACCCGTCTTCCCCCCCCCAATGCAAACACTTCTGCCTCAGCTGCCTGTGGGGGAAATCCCTACCCGCTGAACTTGACCGCAGCCCAGCTGCTCTGCCTCCCCCCCCACGTCAGCAGCCCGTCACTCACTCGCAGCCTCCCCCTCTTGGCGCTCCCTCTAACCTTAACCCCTTCCGCTGGGGCCTAGACTTTACCGGAATGGGTGGCTGTCCCAGCCCCATTCTATGTGCGTCTCAGCTCCACTTCACGCTTGGGGGGATGGCGGGGGAGGAGAGGGCTGGGACCTTGTCTGGGCCCCCAAAGAAGCAAAGAAGGGTTGGGAGGCTGGACTTCTAGGTCTTCAAGGGAATAAGAGTCTCAGGGCATCTGAACACACACACACCCTTCAGAGGTCAGACACTGGGGGACTGGAGAAGTTGGGGACATGTTCTGAATCTCAGAGGCAGAGGTTGGGGTGCTGTATTCCTTGATCCCCAAGGGGGCAAGAAATGTGAGGAGGGCCTCAGAGGGGGCCTATGCACAGGACCAGCTATTTAATTTGTGGGGCTTGGTGCAAAATGATAATGTAGGGTCCCTTGTTCAAAAAGTAAGAATTGAGTGAGCCATCAGCAGATCATTAAAGCAAGCATGGGCCACGTGCAGCTGTGGTCGTTCTGCTGTGGAGGTGGCCCTGCGAGGGGCCTGGAAGTCTGTGCCCCCGAAGGGACAAGGATTGGGGCACTGGATTCCTGGCCAGGAACAGGGTAAGGGGACAGCTTGGGAACACAGCGCTCAGAGGGGTTTGCGTCTCAAGTCCCCATCCCCAAAGAAGAGTTGGGGTGTTGTACTCCTGGGTCTCGAGAGATTTTGGGGGATGCCAGGATATGGGAGATAAAGAGCCAGTCTGAATCCTGAGGGTTGGGGTTCCAGAGGGGCCTAAGGATGGAGGATTGAGGTTTTCTTCCCCAGGGGAGCCGTATCTCCTCGCCCTGGGCTCCTCCCTCCCTCCCATTCGGGGGTGTAAACCGGGGTGCCCGAGGTAACCGGGGTCGCTCTCCGGCGGACAGGCTTCCCTCCCCGGGGAGCAGGAAGCGGAGCCCCGCCCCGCAGACCTGTTACTGGAAGTCCGAGGGCTGGTCCGCCCCTCCCGTCCCCACTTCCTCCAGCCCCGCCCCACCCCCTGCGGCCCGCGCGTTTATGGGAACTCGGGCCTGGACCGTTTCTCTGAAATCATTTTCCCTCTGCCCTCACTTAACCCCACCCGCCCCGGGAGGGACCCAGGCCGGGCGTCGTGGGAGATGCCGGGAGGAGAGGGAGTCCTTCCTAGGGACCCCACCCCCACCCCGCCCAGGTCCGGGTCTTCCCCCAGCATTTCCTTTGTGCGTTTGGTTTTCACCAGTCAGGATCCAGGTTCCTTGTTTCACTTGCCATAATCTTTCAGGGGAGGTGGACGCTATTGTGGGCTATACTTTAACTAAAAACAAAACAACATCCATTGCCGTGGAGTCAGTTCCCACTCATGGCGACCCCATGTAGCACAGTAGACTCCATAGGGTTCTCTTGGGGAGACGATCGCCAGGCCTTTCTTCAGCAGCACAGCCCAGCAGATTCTCACTATCAACCCGAAAGGTTCAGCGCAAACCATTTTCACCACCTACCCACCCACTCCCTGCCCGCGAGTCGGAGCCAACTGATAGCGACCCCTCCTTGGGTTTCTGAGGCGATATCACTATGGAAGTAGATTGCACCATCTTCCTTCCGAGGACTGACTGGTGGGTTTGAACCGCCAGCCTTCTGGTTAGAAGTCAAGTGCCTTAGGCACTATGCCACACCTAGGGGCTACATCTTAACCGAGGAGGAAACTGAGGTTCCAAAGGACCCCCTGACTTTGCCCCATTTGAAACCCTGGTCCACTTGCCCCCAGGCGCCCTCTGGCCTGCAGGATATCTGAGGTTCCATCAGAATCATCTAGGGAACTGGTTTAAAATGTAGATTCGAAAGCTGGACAATTTTAAGAACCAACAAAGCAGCTGATGTAGTAACTTTCCGAACTTTAAAGCAAAGCTTTTTGCTGCGAGCCATCATCAGTGTGGAGCTCTGGTAGCATAGTGCCTAAGGCACTTGACTGCTAACCAGAAGGCTGGTGGTTCAAATCCTCCAGCCACTCCTTGGAAGGAAGGTTGGGCAACCTACTTCCATAAGTGATACTGCCTTGGAAACCCAAGGAGGGGTCGTTAAGAGTCGGGTTGACTCGATGGCAAACAACAACATCATCAGTGTGGTGCCGTGGCCTCTGAGGTCCTGGCCCACGTGCACGCGTGTCCATGCACACACGCGCTCATGAACACATACAATCATCCCAGATTGCCTTAGGCTTGGAATGACTGTTTGGAGGGAGGTTGGGGTCTCTGGGAGGCCAGCAGAAAGTTACACAGAGAACCCTGAAGGAGGGATGGCCTTCAGAGTTGGGGCCTGGCCGCCTGGGGCCTTATGTACCCATATTAGCTGTGGGTGCTGCTGCCCACCCCGCCTTGGGGCGTGGCCTTGGCCAAGCTGCTCTCATTTCAAAAGCTGAGGCCGCGAGTCCTTCAGTTCTGATGGGGGATCTGGGCTGAGCAGCCCAGGGGTCATAACCATGCCGCATCTCAGTCCCCAGCTCCCTTTCAAGCACTCTGTCCACACACATAGTCAGTCCTTGGGTCTCTCGAGTGGAAGCTGAGACCATGAAAGTGGGTAGTTCATCCCCGTTCATTTCACAGATGAGAAAATTGGTCCAGAGATGGGTAGGCTCATGGCCACCGGCCACAGTGATCGCTGGGATGGAAAAACTTCTCTAGCACGTGTTCAGGGAGCACCTATACAGTGGGTGCCAGAGGAGCTCTGGTGGTGTAGTGGTTAAGGCATTTGGCTGCTAAACAAAAAGTTGGTGGTTCGAACCCACCAGCCACCCCACGGGAAGAAGATGTGGCAGTCTGCTTCCATAAAGATTGACAGCCTTGAACTGCTGTATTTGCTCTGTAAATTTTCACCCAAATCACAATTTAAAAAGTATATAATAAAAAGATTGGCAGCCTTGGAAGCCCTCTGGGGAAGTTCCACTCTGGTCCTCTAGGGGCGCTGTGAGTCAGAATTGACTCCACAGCAGTGGGTTTGGTTTGAGCTTTGCTTCTGTGAAGATTGACAGCCTTGGAAACTCTCTGGAGCAGTTCTACTCTGTCCTCTAGGGGCGCTGTGAGTTGGAATCTATTAGATGGCAATGGGTTTGGTTTGGGCTTTGCTTCTGCAAAGACTGACAGCAGTGAAACCCGATGGGCCAGTTCTACCCTGTCCTGTAGGGGTCTCTAAGTCGGAATTGACTGGATGGCACTGGCAGGCGCTGTCCTAGGCACTGAGTAGCAAACCAAGTATGACCCAACCCTCTGCCCTGGTGGAACTGACATTCTACTAGGGGAGCTTCAGACAGGAAATAAGTAAATGATACAATGCCAGGCAATAATGTGAGGGGAAAATCAAGCCAGGTAAGGGGGGAGGGGAAGTGAACTGCTGTCAGAACATTTTAACAGAGACCTGAGTTAGGAGAACAAAACACAGTAAAAACTGGTTGCCTAGAGTCAATTCTGACTCGTGCTGTCACAGAGTAGTGCTGCTCCATGGGGTTTCCTGGGCTGAAACCTTTAAAGAATCCGATCACTGGGACTTTTCTTCCACGGTGCCCCTGGATGGGTTCAAACCACCAACCTTTAGGTTAGCTGTCAAGTACAAACCGTTTGCCCCACCCGGGGGCCTCTTGAGGAGAATAAACCCTGCAGATATGTGGGGGACGACTGTTCCAGGTACAGGGAACAGCCAGTGCAAAGGCCCGAGGAGGCAGGCACGCTTGGTGTGTTTCAGGAACCCAAGGAGGCCACAGCCACTCACAGTTCTTCACAGAAGAGAGATATGGCCTGAGTTTTAAAAGGGTCCTTCTGACAGTGTAGCGAACAGACCAAGGCAGGGGTGAAAGCAGGGAGCCCAGTGAGGAGGGGGGTGGAATAGCCCAGGAAGAAGACAATGGCTGCTCCACCAGGATGGAGGGCACGGGGAGAAGTGGTTGGAGTCTGCTAATATTTCCAAAGAAGCCAACATATCTTGGACTCCACAAGAGATTAACTCCAGCCCCTGACACCTGTGATTCTTTCCCCTCCAGGCCTCTCCACATTGCGGTGGTGCAGGGCAACCTACCAGCTGTGCAACGGCTGGTCAGCCTCTTGCAGCATGGGGGACGAGAGCTAGACATCTATAACAACCTACGACAGGTAAGCCTAGGAGCTGGGGGCCTGGACTCCTGGGTCCTGAGAGAACAGTGCAGGGGGCCCAGACTCCTGGCTCTGAGGGAGGTGGGGGCTGGGAGTGGACTGCTAGGTCCAAGAGAGGAGGCAGAAGGGGAACCAGAATCCGGGCTGTGGGGTAAGACTTCTGGTTCCGGTTGCGGGGGATCAGAATTTGGCGATTCTGAGGTAGGCGGGACTGGAGCTCAGGGCAGGACAGGGGTCCCTCACAGTCGTTATCCCCTAGACCCCGCTTCACCTGGCATTGATTACCACGCTGCCACCCATGGTTCAGCTGTTGGTGATGGCCGGCGCCAGCCCCATGGCGCTGGACCGCTACGGTCAGACGGCGGTCCACCTGGCTTGTGAACATCGCAGTCCCAGCTGCCTGCGGACCCTGCTGGACAGTGCGGCCCCGGGCACCGTGGACCTGGAGGCCCGCAATTACGACGGTGAGTACGGGGCGCGAGAGGAGTGGGGGCTGTAGCCAGGACTTTGAGCCCATGTGGGACCGACTTAGACTGAGGCTCCCTCGCCCTCAGGCCTCACCGCCCTGCACGTGGCTGTGAACTCCGAGTGCCACGAAGCCGTGCTGCTGCTCCTGGAGCGCGGCGCAGACATCGACGCGATGGTGAGCATGCACGGACTGGGGCGGAGCCAAGAAGAGCAGGGGGTGGGGCTTTACTACGAAAGGGGGCGGGTCGTGGGCGGAGCCTGGGTGGGAGCGCGCCTGGGTGGGGCGGGGCTTGAAGGACCTAAAAGGACGCGGGCTGGACCAGATGGGCGGGTTGCCAGCCGCCGGCGGAACTTGAAGCGGCTCAAAGATCTTTGCTACCTGCCACAGGACATTAAGAGCGGCCGCTCCCCGCTCATCCACGCCGTGGAAAACAACAGCCACAGTATGGTGCAGCTGCTACTACAGGTGGGCACTCCTCCTCCTTGGCCTCTCGCCCACCCTCCTTTGGCCCAGCCCCTGGCTAGTTCTTCGGCTCATGACTGCTTCTCAGTTCCAAGCCTTCCTTCAGGCCTCGTCCCCTCACTCCCTGAATTCACTCCCTTAACTGCGACCTTGTGACCCCACCACGCCCCACAGGCCCCTCCCAGCGATGGCCTTGCTGATCCTATCTGCAGGCTTTGACCTTGTCCCGGCGCTGCCTTCCGGGATCATGAACCCATCCCTTCTCCTACCGCCCCTACTTCGGCCAAGTCCGCCAGCTCCTGCCCTGATTGGTTCAGCACCGCTGGACCAATCCGATGTGGCCAGTCCTTAGTTCTAGGGGCCACCTTCTAGGACCCCGCCCCGACCCTGTCTGGCTCCGCCTAGTTCTGGCGTCCGCCCCTTGCTCAGGTCACGCCCTTCTGCAACTCGTCGTACATCTAACCACGCCCCTGCTTGAGCCACGCCCCCGGCCCGCCCCTCCTACAGGTCCCGCCCACTGAGCCGCGTTCCATCCACCCAGCTGTTCCTCGGGTCTGGCCGGGTCGTGCGTATTCTGGCCTTTTCTGACCCGCCCTTTCCGCCCCGCAGCACGGCGCCAACGTGAACGCACAGATGTACTCCGGCAATTCGGCGCTGCACTCGGCGTCGGGTCGCGGGCTCCTCCCGCTCGTACGCACGCTGGTCCGCAGCGGCGCCGACAGCGGCCTCAAGAACTGCCACAACGACACTCCGCTCATGGTGGCAGGCAGCCGCCGGGTGAGTGCGCGCTGGGGGTTGGCCGGGTCATGTAGGGAGAGGCGTTGGCCTAGGAGGAGCCTGTGGGAGTGAGAGTGTGCGAGGGTGCGTGTGCACCCGTATGCACCCGTGTGTCTGCCGGAGGACAGGTGAGTGGGCATGCGTGTGCAGAAGTGTGCGTGAAAGTGTGTATCGGGCTGGTACGTGGAGGGTAACGAGGAGGCGTACGTGGCCGAGTGGCGCAAACGGCAAAGCACTCACCTAGCCCAAAGGCTGTTAGTTTGACCCACCCAGGGTGCCTTACAAGACAGTCCTGGGTCTGAAAGACCACACACAGCCTTGAAAACCCTCTAGAGCGGTTCTACTCTGCACACATGGGGTCGAGATGAATTGGAATTAAACTCTATGATCACTGTCAACAACGTCACCCAGTGGGCCTATGAGTTTGTGGGCCTGAAGGCACTCCTGCCAGTATGAGATTTAGAAATGACAAGATAGTCACAAAGGAAGGAAGTGACTTTCTCATGTCACACACACAGAAAGAGAGGTCCTCACATGCAGGACAAGGTCACTGACAGACCCCATCAGCAAAGAGACATGAAAGGGTTTGTGGGCAGGGGTGAGCTCCTGGTGACACTCCACACACACGCCCGCCCACAGGTTGTTGACGTCCTGAGGGGGAAGGCCACGCGGCCAGCTGCCCCAGCACCACCAGAGCCCTTCGCTGAGCGGAGTGCCAACACCTCCCCTGAGAGCGGCAGCCACCTCAGCTCCAATGGTGAGAGCCACACTCCCAGTCCCCTGGCCTCTGCTCTTTGTGCTTCAGACCCAGGAGGCCTACCCCTGGCCTCTTCCTCCCTTGGACCCAGGAGTCCCAGCCCTGAGCCCCCTCCTCCCTCAGGCCCACCACCCACCCAGAGTGCAGGCCCCCTGCTTCTTCCTGCCTTCTTCTTGTTATGTCCCATCCAGTTAGCTCCGACTCATAGCGACCCCTCCTTGGGTTTCTGAGGCAGCATCACTATGGAAGTAGATTGCCCAACCTTCCTTCTGAGGAGTGGCTGGTGGGTTTGGACCGCCAGCCTTCTGGTTAGCAGTCAAATGCCTTAGGCACTGTGCCACCAGAGCTCCCAGCCCTGAGTCCCATTCTCCCTCACCCAGGGCCCCAGCCCCTCCTGTCTGGGCCCAGTCTCTCACTGCCTCCCCAACCTCTCCCCTTTGCTCCCCACAGGTCTTCTTTCTACATCACCATCTTCCTCGCCTTCCCAGTCTCCTCCCAAGGACCCCCCTGGATTTCCCATGGTCCCCTCCAATTTCTTTCTTCCTCCCTCATCTCCACCTGCCTTCCTGCCCTTCTCTGGAGTCCTCCGAGCTCCCGGCCGGCCCGTGGCCCCCTCCCCAGCTCCAGGAGGCAGCTGAGAGGGACGGGGGGGCAGATCTCGGACTCAAGAGGTGGAGCCTCCCTGACTGTGGGGTCGGCCCTCCTGGAAACTGTGAACATCTCACTCTGCCCCCCCCCCCCAATCTTTGGGACCAGGATTTGCACAGACACATAGAAACCTACCCATAAGCCCCTTCTTCTGACACCAGCTGTCCCCTCATCTCATCCCCCGACCCAGGACTCTGACCCCCTGTTATTCTCAGGCACCAGGCCCCTGCCTGGAATTCCACCCAGATGTTCACTCCTGGTCCTCCCAGAGCTGGTGGAACCAGGAACACAGCTCCTCTCCACTTAGATGGACAAGGAGAGGTGGGCCATAGGGGGCACCAATAGCAATGTAAATTATTAGGCATTTTGGTTGAATTTCTTTTGTAATAAACTATTTTTGTACCATGTCGCTTGTTTGGCCGGGCCTCTTGGAGGAGGTCCGCGGGGAGCATGTTTAGGTGGGTGCATGGCTGTATGCTGTAGCCAGCTGACTCAGTGAGTGACTTTGTGAGTCTCATACTGCAAAGAGAGGGACCAGTCCCCAAGACTGCCTTCACGTCTGACATCGCTTGTAAGTTCAGGGGTCCTCCAGGTCACCCCAGTTTCAGTCATTTGCAAGAAGGAGTCACAGAACTCACCAAAAGCTGTTCTCCCAAAAAAATAACCAGTTGGGTCAAATGGATTCCAACTCAGGACAACCCCCTGTGGGTCAGAGTAGAACTGTGCCCCATAGCATTTTCAGTGGCTGGATTTTGGGGAGCAGTTTGCCAGGCTTTTCTTGTGAGGTGCCTCTGGGTGGATTTGAAATGCCACCCTTTCGGTTAGTAGCTGAGCAGTTAACCGTTTGCCCCCTGGGGACTCCTGTTACACACTCCCAATTTAGTCCTATGAAAGGATACAGGTTAAAATTGGCCAAGGGAAGAGGTGCAGAGGGCAGAGTGCAGGAAAGGTCCACACACACAGCTTCCGGTGGTCCTGGCCCATGGGGTCACAGATAGTGCTGCCCTTTCCACAAGGATGTGGAAAAACAGTGGGGCCTGGCAGCAGCCAGTGACCTCTGACTTCACAGATGGGAGGAAGGTCAAGACCAACAGCCCAAGGCTGATCCCTACGAGGCAGAGGTCAGATGTCAGATGTGCCGCTGTCCTCCAACGTTTTTATCAATTCTGATAGCAACCGTCCCTCCAGCACGCTCTACTTCTCTGCTGGGTTCACTAATTCATTGCAAGGGCCGCATGCAGCTCACACACTATTCATGATTGTGGGGTTTATTGGGAAGTAATAGGTAATAGTAATAGGTATGAGGAGCAAGGATGTCTCCTTGAGGACTAAGGTGCGCCTGACACAAGCCATGGTATTTTCAATCGCCTCGTATGCATGTGAGAGCTGGACAATGAATAAGGAAGACCGAAGAAGAGTTGATGCTTTTGAGTTGTGGTGCTGGCGAAAAATGCTGAAAGTACCGTGGACTGCCACAAGAACTAACAGGTCTGTCCTGGAGGAAGTGCAGCCGAAATGCTCCTAGGAAGCGAGAATGGCCAGACTTCATCTCACCTACTTTGGTCATGTTGTCAGAGGGGACCATTCCCTGGAGAAGGATGTCATGCTTGGTAAGGTGGAGGGTCAACGAAAGAGGGGAAGGCTTTCGATGAGATGGATTGACACGGTGGCTGTGATGATGGGCTCAATTATAGCAGGGATCACGGAGCTGGCGTGGGATCAGGCGGTATTTCGTTCTGCTGTACACGGGGTTGCTATGAGTCGGAAATGACTCTATGGCACCTAACAGCAACAACAAATAGGTTACGATTCAGGTTCAGAAATACTCCAGATACAATTCTTCTATCAGGACAGCCTCTTCGCGGCAGTGCCTCTCTGCCCCTCGGCCTCGGCCCAGCTCGGGCAAGTGTTACAGAGCTCTTTAGCTCTGCCAGTGAGTGCCCCACGTACCCCACTCTGCCAGTCAACCTTGGCCCAGAGACCCCCAGCCTCCTTTGTCCGTGGGTCCAAAAGCCAACTGTGCTGTCTCCTGCCAGGTCAGCTACCACCATTTCTCTGCTGCTGCCTCTGCCCGTCTCCACGGTGTTATGCTCACTGTCTGTCTCCTGAGTCGAGGAAGTTCATTGCAGGGATATCGTGTCCATGGACCCACTCCTGGCTCATTCTCGATGGTAGTAAGATCCTGTTTCCATCTCAGGTGGCTCATCTTAAGCCTAGTGGGTGACAGAACTGACCAATCCCCACATTAGGGTTAGGGTTTCAGATGTGAGTGTGGTCCCACCCCTGCAAGGCTGCCATGCCCCTTATTTGCATTTTCAGCAGGTTGCCCAATCCCCTTGGTGGACCACATGGACCTCATTTGCATAGCCCCACCCAGGCATTTAGTGGGCGTTACAAACACTGGAGGGAACGGAAGGACCATGTTAAGTAATTCACACTGGCAATCAGGGAAGCTCACCTGAGCTCTGGCATCGAGAGGTTTCTTTGAAACTGGGTCAGATGGACAGGGCTGACTGACCACACGGCTGACCTTTAGTCTCCAGCTCCTCTGGAGGCAGAGCAGATAACTGCGTGGCCCAGGGCCCCTACTATCAGTCATATGGTTAGACTACGTGTGGCCCAAAGCCTCTAGGTAAAGACACTTAACAGGCTGATGCTTCAAGGGCTTACTTCACTCCCCAATAACCAAGGGCCGAGGCCGGCCTTCTCCTTGTCGTAGTTGGTAGCAGCCACTGAGTTGGAGCTCTACTCAATAGAGATCCCGTGCACAACAGAATGAAACACTGCTCAGTCCTGGGCCCTTCCGTGATGGGTGCACAGCGACCATTGTGACCCATAGGGTTTTCATTGGCTGATTGTCTGTTGATGGCCAGGCCCTCCTTCCTAGTCCATCACAGTCTAGAAGCTTCACTGACACACCTGTTGAGCATCACAGGCATACACAGGCCTCCACTGACAGACAGGTGTTGGCTGCACTTGAGGTGCACTGGCCAGGAACCGAACCCAGGGCTCTTGCATAAAACCAAAAAAACCAAACACGCTGCCATTGAGTCAAGTCTGACTCATAGTAACCCCCATTGGGTTTCCAAGGCAGAAAATCTTTACAGAAGTAGAGTGCCCCATCTTCCTTCCACAGAGTGGCTGGGGGGTTTGAACTGCCAACCTTCTGGTTAGCAGTCAAATGCCTTAGGGACCATGCCACCAGAGTTCCTTGGGTCTCTGGCATGGAAAATGAGAACTCTCCCATTGAACCGCCATGTGCCCCGCTCTCTCAGATGAGGTCAGTTCTTTACCACACAGACTCGTGACCACGTGGCCGCGTGTGACTCCAGGCCTCCGAGTGTTTGTCACTGTGTCACTGTGTCTCGGGGAGATTTGGTGTGTGCCATCTTTCCAGAGGACCCAGCTGGACCCCAGAGGGACTCTCGGGTCCTCTGTGTGTGTGTGTGTAAGGGCTTCTGTGGTTTGTGAGCCTCTGTGTTACCAAGGGTCCCTGGGTGGCACAGTGATAAATGCGCTCGGCCGCTGAGGGAAGGGGTGGCGGTTCAGGTCCAACCAGAGCACCTCAGAAAGTCCTGGTGATCTGTTTCCCAAACAGCCAGTAAAAACCCGTGGAGCACAGCTGCATTGTGACACGGACGGTCGCCACAAGTCAGTCAGGAATCAGTGGCAACTGTGGAAAAGAAAAAAACTTCTTTCATTGTTGGTGCTGAGAATGTGCACAGACCATCGACGGAAACACACACCGTTCTCCACGTACAATTCAGTGCCATGGGTTGCACGGCTGAGTTGTGTAACCGTTCTGTCCTGTACTGAGTTTTCCCCTCTAGTAACAAACTCACTGCCCCTAAGTTTCCTGTCTAACCTTTCGAGTTGCTGTTGTCACTTTGATCCCATACAGATAGTTCTTAAAAGTATATCACCCTACTCAAGGCAGGCATACTGTACTGTTGTTGTTGTTATGTGCCGTCAAGTCGGACCGGACTCACAGCGACCCCTCTTTGGGTTTCCGAGGCAGTATCACTACAGAAGTAGATTGCCCAACCTTCCTTCTGAGGAGTGGCTGGTGGGTTTGAACCGCTAGCCTTCTGGTTAGCAGTCAAGTGCCTTAGGCACTATGTTACCAGAGCTCCCATTCTGTACTAGTTAAGCTTAAAATTGTTTGGTTTTAAGAGACTCCAAGGGTGTTCTGGTTCCCTAGTGACATTCTGACAGGAATATACCACCAATGGAATGGCTTGAACAAACAGCAGTTTATTCTCTTATGCTGTTGAAGGCTTTAAGTCCTGAGTTCAGGTGCCGGGCTTTAGGGGCTGGGTGAAAGCCCCTCAACTTTGGGCTTCACCTCTGCCTCCTGCTCCCAGCCCACTGAAGCTGGAGGCATTTCTTCACTCAGACAGCTGCTGGCTGCTGAGGCTGACAAGCCCAGGGTTGACAAGTAAAAAGGCACAGTCTCAATGTTACCAAACAACATGGCAGGCCACTAATTCAAGTCCAGGTGAAGTCCCAAGATCGGCAGTGCACGGCAAGCTTTTGAACAACGACTTGGCTACATGCAGGGTTCAAGTGTGCCTAAACGCTAGAGACCAATCCCAAAGCTTCTCCTTATGTATGGGAAGCAGACCACATCTCTAAAGCAGCTGCTTGCGGCAGATTCCACTGTGGAATTGATTGCCAGTCTCATCATGGGGAATAACTTCCTTCAGCTGCCTAGCCACTCAAGCAGGCCCAGCCACATTGACAACAACCTTAACTACCACAATTGGATATGTTTGTTTAAGGTTTAAAGATTAGCTCAGGGCAATAGTTTCAGGCGTTCATCCTGCCTCCTTGGCTCCAGGAAGTCTGGATTCTACTAGAAGGTGAGATTCTGTTCTACATTTTCCCCCTTTTGATCAGGATTCTTCTATGGAATCTTTGATCAAAATATTCAGTAATTGTACCAGGCACCATCCAAGTTCTTCTGGTCTCATGACAAAGGATTCTTGGA